TATGTATGTATGTATGTATGTATGTATGTATGTATGTATGTATGTATATGTGTATACATGTATATTTGTATGTATAAATAATATAAATATAAGCACATTATTTAAATTAAATTTTATACATATAGCTATACATACTGTATATACACACACTTGCACACATATACACAGACACACACTTGCACACACACACAGACACACACACACACACACATATATATATATATATATATATATAGAGAGAGAGAGAGAGAGAATAAAAAATCAAATGTACGAATGACTGTTACATACATACGTAAATATTACATAATACAGGTATATAATGTTAGCTTTCCAGTCTGAATCTCCCAATCAACCGTTTTAATCAATTTCTATAGTGATCTCTGGTATCAAAGGTGAAGGAAAATATTTCCATAGATATTGTTTCGAAATTATTATAGCCAGGTGCTTATTGCCTCAATCACTTTTTTCTCAGTAGCACTATGGATGCACGTTTTACCCGTGGCAAGTCTGCTATCCTGGAACGTTCGCTCACCCGACCCAAGACCGATGTAAGCCTCAGTGCCTTTTCCCTGCTGTTTTCCGAGATTGTACAGTACTGCCAGAACAGGGTCTATTCTGTTTCTGAGCTTCAGAACAAACTTTCTGAGCTAGGCCAGCAGGTGGGAGCTCGTATCCTGGATGTGCTGGTGATGCGAGAGAAAAATGGCAAACGTGAGACCAAGGTCATCAATATTCTGCTCTTCATCAAGGTGACAGTTTGGAAGGCTCTCTTTGGGAAGGAAGCTGACAAGCTTGAGCAAGCCAACGATGATGACAAGACCTACTACATCATTGAGAAAGAGCCTCTTATCAATACTTACATTTCAGTTCCCAAGGAGAACAGCACCCTCAACTGTGCTTCCTTCACTGCTGGCATCGTGGAGGCCATGCTCACTTGCAGTGGCTTCCCTGCTAAAGTCACAGCCCATTGGCACAAAGGGACCACACTCATGATTAAATTTGATGAGTCAGTTATAGCACGTGACAAAGGGTTGGATGGCCGTTGACATTTTGTATAAATAAATTTGAATTATCCATGTGTGTATATGTATATAGAGAGTATGTACAGATAGGCACACACATTCTATAATAAAGTAATTTATTCATATGTACTTTGAAATTTTGACTATATGCAAATGGTATTTGGTGAGGGAAAGCAAGATCCAGCCAGCATCGGAAAAAGGTTATTGTGTTCCATAATGCTTTTCTCAACCTAGTTCTTGTCAGATAATCTGCAGTATACTTCATCCTTGACTTCTGGCATTCTGAGAAGAATTGTAATCCCAAATACCTGGAGGATACCAGTCTGGGAAAGGAGTACATTGCATTTCTTTGTTACTGTCCTATTGGAGTTTGACGATATTAATGAAAAATGTATGTTCTACCAGCAGGTTATTTGCTTGTGCTGTTGCCCTTTTTACTTAGTTCTTGCCATTATTCATAACTATTGCAGCCAATTTCCTATGTGTATCTGAAATAAGAAGTTGGACCTATGTTAACATTTCATCTAAAATGTGTTCTTAGAGATAGTAGTAGTAGCAATGCCTTTCTCTGTGATATGTACTTTTTACTGATGTTTCTGTTCTGAGCATAAGAAGATAAATCTACCTGCCTGCAAAAATTGTGATAGATTATCAAGTAAAGCTCTTTTGAGAGTAGGCCAAAGCCACGTGCATTTCCTGTCAACTTAATCATCCCTTCATACAGCTCTTTCCTGCTATGTTTCCTGCTATGTTTTGAGAAAGGGGGCAGGGGGGATAATTATAACTGTAACATAGTTATCTCTCTTTTTAGAAAAAGTAAATGAGAAAACCATGCATATAGACTTCATACAGAACAATAAGCAATAGAACTCCTGACAAGTGAGTATATTTTCAACTTCATCTAAGCAATCCCAAGTTTACAGATGGTGCTTAATCATTTACCAGAGTTTCTTCAATCCTGTTTTGGGGGCAAAATGAATATTAGTCCTGGTTTATTTCTTCTTCCAGCTGCAAAGTGGGGTAGAGCATTTTTTTCAAATCTTTGCTTAAGCTCTATTCGTATATGTAGTTTTGACCAGCTTTACCCAGCCAAAGATCTGTCAGTATTTTAGGCTAAAACTTGAAATCAAATTCCCAGACAATATGACCATTTATATGTTAAAAATGATAGGAACTGAATGCAAAAACTTCTGGAAGGAGATAATAAAAGGTGCAAGACTGATTTGTCATTTAATACGTCTAACATCAATCTGTTCTTACTATTTAATGCACTAGATATTTGGGAGAATTGGTTTACTGAAATAATAAATTTGGTGAATGGCCATTTTTAGTCTTTCCTCCTGAAAATAGCCCACTCTACACCAGTTCAAGCTTTTGAATGCTGTTCAAGGATGCCCCAAGTAGAGTCCATTGCAGTAGTCCAAGCATGAGATGACTGGGACTTGGATGACTGAGCACAGGGTCTCCTGATCCAGGAAAGGCTGCAACCAAAGTTGTGCAAAGGCTCTCATAGCCACAAGTGCCACCTGCTCCTTGTCAGTTCAAAAGGACACCATGGTTGATGGTGTTGAAGGCTGCTACGAGGACAAGGAGAGCAACTATGGTTGCATTATCCCCATTCCGCTCTTCATCAGATGTTTTCTGATATTAAACTGTCAAACTCGGAGGAGTAGCTTGTAGCTACCCTACTTAGCTTATCTGGATTTTATATATTTTTAATGCAAACATAGGTAATAAGTTTTTGGTAACTTGTTCTGGACCACTGTTTGTTTTTTTTTTATATTCCTTTTCCTGCTTTATTTAGAAGAAAAATCTTTCAGAAATTAGAAAACTGAATCTGTGATGAAGAGTTGGTTGACACCTATTGTGAAGTTCAGTTAATGTATACTGGATTGACAGGGGAAAAGTTGGGGATCCTGGGACATGTAAGAGCCAAACCTTCCTTTCGTCTACAAATGTAGGACTTAGCTTAAGGGCAGCAGAAATACTGTACAGATGTATTAGAAACCTTGGAATCATTGAAACTTTACACTTGCAAATACTCTAAAGCCCCTGGGATCTTTTCCTCCATTCTTAATTACCCATTTTCTTTCCACTCTTTGCTGTGTCAGTGAAACATTTTCCTTGTTGCCTTTTGCCTGGAAGCCTGCATGAAAATGCCAAACTCCAAAGCATGGAGTTATATTCTGAACAGTTTATTGTACTGCCTTGAATCACCAATGTACAATGCATCTGATCATTTCACATACTAAAGCAGATTTTTAAAACTGGAACATGGCACAATCAATCTTTGCAAATGTCCATTAAAAAAGCTCCCAGTTGTATGTATTGTGAAGAGAATATTTTAAAATGAGAAAATTCTGGGGATAGTTTTGGAGTGGTTCAATATTCATTTTCACCTTAAATTAGCATCATCCAAAATGATTTAAATTTATCCCAGTTACCTGCTGATGAGAGTTATACAACTATAAGTGCAATTAGGAAGCACCAAGGTTTATAGGAAGCACCAAGGTTTATAACCAATCAAGGCTATTCTTGTGCCATTTTGAAACAGTGGATAGAGCTCAATAATGGTTAGGATATATAAGGGAGGGAGGGAGGGAGAGAGAGAGAAAGAGAGAGAGAGAGAGAGGTGTAAATAACAAATAGTGCTGTTGTACGAGTGAGAAACAGTTTCCAATATAATTTAGTTCACTTTCAGATAATGCCTTATCCCCAAATTCAATTATAGTAGCTTTTTTCTGTAATTCTCCAAAAGGTTCATATTTGTTTAAATTAAGAGAAGGGAAGGGATCACCAATTCGTAACATGTTGCTGTTGAAAGTAACCCTTTGTGGTAATCCAGTCCACCCTCTGCCCAGCGCAGAAACCTGCAACATCCCAAACAGAGGGGATTCAGTGTTTTGTTAGAGAGAGGGAGAGGGAGAGAAGTTAACTTCCCAAGGAAGTTTGCTCTTTGCTAAATAAGCAACTCGTTAGAAAGTTTCCTTAAAAAAAGAAAATTGTCATAATAGTAATATATTCAATAGATGCAGTGCTGACTAGAAATCTTTAACTGTCTAATAATGTTTAGGAAACTTAAACAAAAATATTTTCAAAAGAGGCTTATGTCAGTGCTAACTATGATTTGAAATGTCGATGTTGGTAAGCATAACATACTTTACATTTTACAAAGCCAAATATAACATTAATAGAAAACTGCAGATTACATCAAAATAATTGTTATACAATTAAGATCTCTGTCTAAAGCTGCTTTTTTTCCTTGATATCTAACTGGAGTAAACTTCTTTATAATTTAAACCCATTGTTTATATGCCTTCTGAACAATTTTTCCTCACAGTTTATATCACAAATCTGCAGGAAGTGGACTTGAAGAAAATCAAGGCAATAAAGAGAACTGAAACAAATGTTATGTTCTGACCAGCACTGACCGGAAACAGATAATCACCTTGGTGCTACATTTCTTTTGATACCACTGTAAGATTGCATTTTCTTTTCTTTTTGCAATTCAATTACATAATTAGCTTTTGGTCAATTTGTGATCCACTGAGACACACAATTTCTTTTAGCATATACTATTGTCTAATATGATTCCTGCCTCTTCTACACTGCTCAAAAAAATAAAGGGAATACTTAAACAACACAATATAACTCCAAGTCAATCACACTTCTGTGAAATCAAACTGTCCACTTAGGTAGCAACACTGATCGACAATCAATTTCACATGCTGTTGTGCAAATGGAATAGACAACAGGTGGAAAGCATAGGCAGTTAGCAAGACATCCCCAATAAAGGAGTGGTTCTGCAGGTGGTGACCACAGACCACTTCTCAGTTCCTATGCTTTCTGGCTGATGGTTTGGTCACTTTTGAATGCTGGCAGTGCTTTCACTCTAGTGGTAGCATGAGACGGAGTCTACAACCCACATAAGTGGCCCAGGTAGTGCAGCTCATCCAGGATGGCACATCAATATGAGCTGTGGCAAGAAGGTTTTCTGTGTCTGTCAGCGTAGTGTCCAGAGCATGGAGGCACTACCAGGAGACTGGCCAGTACATCAGGAGACATGGAGGAGGCTGTAGGAGGGCAACAACCCAGCATCAGGACCACTGCCTCCGCCTTTGTGCAAGGAGGGACAGGAGGAGCACTGCCAGAGCCCTGCAAAATGACCTTCAGCAGGCTACAAATGTGCATGTGGCTGCTCAAATGGTCAGAAACAGACTCCATGAGGGTGGTATGAGGGCCCGACGTCCACAGGTGGGGATTGTGCTTACAGCCCAACACTGTGCAGGACGTTTGGCATTTGCCAGAGAACACCAAGATTGGCAAATTCACCACTGGCGCCCTGTGCTCCTCACGGATGAAAGCAGGTTCACACTGAGCACATGTGACAGACGTGACAGGGTCTGGAGACACCATGGAGAACGTTCTGCTGCCTGCAACATCCTCCAGCATGACCGGTTTGGCAGTGGGTCAGTAATGGTGTGGGGTGGCATTTCTTTAGGGGGCTGCACAACCCTCCATGTGCTTGCCAAAGGTAGCCTGACTGCCATTAGGTATCAAGATGAGATCCTCAGACCCCTTGTGAGACCATATGCTGGTGCGGTTGGCCCTGGGTTCCTCCTAATGCAAGACAATGCTTGACCTCATGTGGCTGGAGTGTGTCAGCAGTTCCTGCAAGACGAAAGCATTGATGCTATGGACTGGCCCGCCCGTTCCCCAGACCTGAATCCAATTGAGCATATCTGGGACATCATGTCTCACTCCATCCATCAATGCCACGCTGCACCACAGACTGTCCAGGAGTTGGGGGATGCTTTAGTCCAGGTGTGGGAGGAGATCCCTCAGGAGACCATCCGCCACCTCATCAGGAGCTTGCCCAGGCATTGTAGGAAGGTCATACAGGCACGTGGAGGCCACACACACTACTGAGCCTCATTTTGACTTGTTTTAAGGACATTACATCAAATTTGGATCAGCCTGTAGTGTTTTTTTCCACTTTAATTTTGAGTGTAGCTCCAAATCCAGACCTCTATGGGTTGCTAAATTTGATTTCCATTGATAATTTTTGTGTGATTTTGTTGTCAGCACATTCAACTATGTAATGAACAAAGTATTTAATAAGAATATTT